TTAATTTTATAAATTGAATTAAAATTATGAATAAATTGATATAGCATGCAAGTACTAAGGATTAAATATATAATTATGTCAATTTTATAAATTATCACATCAATGTTTCTATTGGACGTGAACAACACGTGGTTTAATTAAAACCATTTAAATTGTTACGTGGTCATCTTACAAAATCGAAAGTATGGTGGTCATATTGACATCAACTCTTAATTAAGTAGTTATTTGAATAGTTTATCCTAATTGAAAATTTAAGTTAATTGTATTATATGTCCCAAACTATAATTCTCATTTTAAATTGGTCATTAAACTTTTGAAAATTCTAATTTCATCTCTAAATTATGACTCTCATTCTAAATTAGTCTCCAAACTTTTAGATATTCTAATTTCATCCCTAAATGATGACCCTCTTTCTAAATTAGTCCCCAAACTTTTGAATATTCCAATTCCATCCCCAAATTCATCTAAATATGTAATTAGTTTCAACCATAATTTAATCTAAATTTTATTTTTTTTAAATATATAATAATATAACTTGGCCTAACGATTTTATTATCAAAAGATGTGATTAGTATATACGTATAGCTTGAGATGAAATTGGAATGTTCAAAAAGTTTGGAGACCAATTTAAAATGAAGGTCATAGTTTGGGGATGAAATTGAAATGTTCAAAAGTTCAAGGACTAATTTCAAATAATAATCATAGTTTAGGAATAAAATTATAATATTTAAAAATTTAAAGATCATTTTAAAATAAAATCATACTTTGATGCAATCAACTCTATAAATTACTTTAAATTTTAAAACTCTAAATAGAAATTTTGGATTATGCATCCCTTCTCACCTATTACGCTCTGTCACTTGGTTTGGTAGGATATTGACAACTTTAATTTTTAGGGTAAACTACATATTTAGTCACCAAGTATCATTTTAGTTATGTTCTATTCACTCAACTATTTAAAAAAATTACGCTAAATTACATTTTAGTTTTATTTTGATCATCTTTTGTTAAAAAAATTAACAAATGATGACGTGATATTTTTTAATTTTTTCAATGATAACGTAACATTATCGTATGATGATATGTCAACATCACCATTATTTTTTTAACGATGGTGGTCAAAATAAAATAAAAAAACGTAACATTAGTAATGATTTTGAAATATATATATATAGTTAGATGACCAAAATTAGAACTCAATGATAGTTGGGTGATTAAATACGTAATTTACCTTAGTTTTTATTATCTTGTATATAAAGGTATAAAAGTTATCAATTTGAGAAAACAATTTGATATGATTCCCCCCCCCCCCAACCAAAAAAAAAAACCACTTGAGGTTTAGAGCATAAACGTGGAACCAACACAGGCACGAAAATGGATATTCAATTTATTCTCTATTCTTCCAATCATATTTGTCCTTGCAATTCCATGCATTCACTTCTCTTCTATTCTTCCTAACAACATTTACTGTAAGCTGAATTTGGTAAATAGTGGGGTAAAAGACTTTTTAGGTCCTCTATATTTTAAAATTGCTTCAATTGGCCATCTCATAAAAAAAGAGTAATTTAGAAGGACCACAAGTTAGTTCATGTAAACTTCAAAAATGAGCAACTAAAATAGAAGCAAATTGAAAGTTATGACTGAGTATCTACCTTTTAAAGTTTATGAAATGATCCCAAAACTTTCTTCATTTTTTGAAACCTCTTAATTTTTGATTCCCTTTAGTTTCTCAACAATGTATCATCTTTTTCCAAATCTTAATGATGGGATGGTGAAGAAAGAGGAGGCAAGTCGTATATCCTAATTCCTACGGCAGCGTACATGACTACTATGTCACCCTTCCATTTATGATTTAACACACGAGTGATCAAAATAGAAATAAATTGAAAAATCAATAAGTAAATTGAAGATTTTAGTGATTAAAATAGGAGTAAAAATAAAGTTTAGTGATGACATTTGTAATTTACCCTTCAATTTAACATGAATTAGTTATTGTATAAATCTAAAGAAAAATAATGTGGAGTTATATGCTGCCGACTAGTTGACCTACTTACCTGCACCGATGAAACCCAAGAGCCACGTGACTTCCTTGTTTTAAATCCCATCTTTAAAAAATAAAAATAAAAAGCATTTAAAATTGCTTAATTCCAGCTTTGGTGTTTAATTTACTAATATTAAATCACACACAAACTTCATCCACAAAACATTTAGTTGGCACAACTCAAACCACTCTTTCCCATATGTCCCCATCTCGGTTTAATTTTCTCATAAAAGTAGTTTCAACACTTCAAAAGCAACGACTATGTTCACACATCCACAATTCCACATAAATCTTTTCATTTTAATTAGTTTTATCAATTTAGATATTTAATATTTTTAACGTTATCATTTAGATACTTACGTTGTAAAGATCGTTAAAAACATTTGTTAAATCAATCAATCAGTATTTGACATGTGATCTGGTCTTTTATTTTTTATTTTTATTTTTTTAAATAATAAAATTCACATTTTTTCTAAAAATATCTCAACTTTTCCTATTTTTCATAAATACATCAAGATATTCAATTCCGACACTAATCATCATCACTATCGACGATCGCCGACTCACTCGTCGGTCACCAGCCCGCCAACCACTCACCCACCGATTGGGATGAATGTGTGATGGGATTTAGGGTTTACATTTAGAGATTTGAATTTAAGGATTTTGGGGGTTTGAAGTTACGATTGACAATTGGTGATTGATAGGTAGGCAGTTGATGGGGGGCGATAGCGACGGTGGGCTGGGTGGGGTAGATGCTTTGGAATTAAGGATTTTGGGATTTTTTTTTAGAATTTTAGAAACAATTTGATTTTTCTAAAATAATAATAATTTTATTTTTTAAAAAAATTATTACATGTTATGTTATGTGTTGCATTTTGAGTGGTTGACATAGTTTTTTGAACGTCTATTATGATTAATGCACCTAAATGATAAAATTAAAAACGTTAATCACCTAAATTAGGCCCAACAAAAATTAAACACCTAAATAAGAAAAGATGTATAATTTAAATATTTTATATATTAAGCCTTTTAATTAATACTTAAACCATAAACAATGCAAATACTCTAAATATAATTTAAATAAAATAATCGTTAAAATATTTTTGATTTTATAATAAAATTTTATTTGATATATTATTTATACAAAAAAATTATTATACAAATAATTTTATTTGAATCACATATTTAATTGATACTAAATTTTAAATTTTATTCTATATATATCATCAATTTTTTTGTTGTCCTCCCAGTTCCAAGGTTTTGCCTTGATTAATCCGGACCGACCCTCGTCGCACACCTGATTTTAGTAGGTGAGACTCCCAACAGGGATTTTCTGTATACACAAAGACTCGAACTCGAGTCCTTGCTTAAGCGATACCAAGCTACTTACCACTTGAACCAATCCGAAATTTTAAATTATATTTCTTAAATATAAACCCTAAATTCTAAAATTTATAATCTTAAATTTTAAATAATACACATTAAAATATTAATATTTTAAAATCATTGAGTATTCTCGATGGTAAATGAGAATATTATACTTCCTAAAAGACATAGTTCAAACAATTATGTGATGCAAAGTATATACATTGTTAATGACTAAGAAATATTCTAAACATATGTTATATTGTAATATTCTCATATTGCTAAAAGAACAATATTAATATTTCATTTATAGAATATTCTTTTTCATTGTCTATATATAAAATATATTTCTTTGATAATATATGGTTTTTTAATGAAAGATGACAACGAGTCGGGTTGGATCATATTTTTAGTCAACCTGATTAGCAAAAAATATATACCTTCCATCCGAATGTGATCTAATCAAAAAAATATATACCATTCATCTGGTCTTAATCGAAGAGCATATTCCTCTAGCTGAATCTTATCCAACTAGAATTTTTTGAGTATAAGTCCAATCTGACATGATCTGACCCTACATAAAATAAGAACCTAATTTTAAAAAATTATAGTGAGAGAGGGTATTATAGCAATTATCAAAAAAATTATTTAAAAAAAAATACTATTATACTGAATCGGATAAGAGGATTTTTATCCTCCACCTAAACCCAACCTAACCCAAATCAATTGTGTTTTTTTAAATAAACCCTATCAAATTAAATCGAATTAAAATATATCGATTTCGAGTTCAATTACCATAATAATTATTATTTCTTATAACAAAACATTCCATAAAAAAGTAGGTGGCCATTAAAATAAAACGATGACATAATTAAAAAAAGTAAAGTACATAAATGTACAATTATAATATGTTCTTTTATTGAGTTTTTAGATTATTATAAATTATAAAATGATCTTTTACGTTAGTTGTTACTGTGTTGAGTCATCTAACTATTAAAAGTTACAAAATAATCACATGATTATTCATATGTTCTAAATATTTCATTTTTGTTTAAAAATTGGTAGTCTTATGAACTAGACCTAAACCTATTGAATGATATATAATAAAATATGATCATAGAATCATTTGAGGTGTATTTTATGTACGATTCTTCATTTATATTATACAATCGTGCTAGTGCTTAAAAGTAATAATATTGTCATTAGAAACTATTAAAATATAATTTTATCATATATCAATCGACGAGTTAACGTTCAACTCACATGATTGTCAAATTTTTAATGAAAAATTACAAGTTTATAACATATGAATAGTCGGATGATTATTTTATAATTTTTTAATATTTTATAATTTTTTAATAGTAAAAAACTTAACAAAATAGTATCTTATAATAAAAAAAATATTTTATAATTTTTAATAATAAAAATATTTAATAAAATAATAACATATAATCGCTATTTTTTTTGGATAAATTATAATCGCTATTTGTATACTTCACCGAGAAGAAATGCTCATGCTTATCAGCTAAACACCGAGAATATAAAGCCGTGAACTTTCCTCTAAAAGAGTATTTCAAAAGGATTAAGGCAACAAAAGGAGCGTGTTTTGAAGCGGGTTCTGAATTCTAACAGCGAATCACTCTTTGGCTTTTTCCTACTATTTTTTCTCAACGTATGAACAGACTCTAAATATTACCACTCCTGCCTCCTACTTTGTCCTTTCTTGCTTTTCCCACTAGGTTTTCCTTACCAGTGACTAGTAGTGAGAGCAGTAGCCTAGGGGCTCAGAAAATAGAGAGAAAGAATTAGTACAAAGGGAGAAGAGGGAAACAATCATGCCATCAGGTGCTAAGAAGAGAAAAGCTGCCAAGAAAAAGAAGGAACAAACAGCCAACACCATCAGTTCATCAACTAACAACAACCCACATGGTACTTTGATTTCCTTTTTTTTTATTTTTTATTTTGGGGTTTTTTTTCTTTCTTTCTTATGGATTTGGAATGATGGGTCTTTTTTGTTCTGTATCTGCATGTGTCATTCTGTTCATTATTTGATTTGTTGGAGATTTACAGTTTCGAAGAAATCAGCTTGCCATGTTCGATGGATGATATTAATTGTCTAGTTTATGATATTGATTAATTGATTTGGTTTCTTTTCGATGGGTTTGTTGCCCTTTAATCACTTTTCATTTATGCCTTTCTAGGAGATTTTTCAATATATTTGTTTAGGGTATTGTGCCGATTTTTAGCCCATCCTGTATTTTACTTGATTTTGGCCAGAATCCTTGTTCTTGGAAGAACTTGTGTAAGACCACTTGATGTCTTTTTTTCTATTGGTATTTTCATCCAAAATTGGTTGAAAAATCATTTTGCTTAATAAATTTATAGATTTGTCTATCGGTTTGGTACAGTGTTTATTCTGGTAGTTCCTATAGGGAATTGAGAATTTTGTTGCTTGAATGATGGTTGGAACTATTATGATGTTTATCAAATGGTGCTAGGAAACAATGATCCGAGAAACCAAGATGAAAGGGACAGTGATGGCGGCGACGCTGGTTCCCATGCATCTCAGGATGACCACAATCAGCAGCATACATTCAGTCAGGGAGAAGATGAAGGGAAACGATCGCAATCACATGTAACTGAGGAGAAGTCTCTGGAAGAGGCCACTAAAGATACAGAAAGCACCGAGAAATTGGGATTGGGTGTTGATGTTAAAATCAAGAAAGGGCTGGAACTGAAGAATGATCTTGAGAGCGCACATGTTTCTATTCAACATGTTGAGCTTGACAAGAGCTCTAGCAGCAGCAGTGGGAAGAGTAGCTGCAGTAGTTCAGATGACGAATCCCAAGTCTATGAGAAGAAGTCGAAGGAAGAAGCTTGTAACATTGGTTCTGAAGTGGCCTCATATAATACCGAGAATAAGTCAGCTACTGTTTTGGCTGAAGATGTTCCGAAGGTCGCTGAACATGGAGCATTTGAGAATGGTGATAGTAATTCTGCAGGTGACACTGTTGCTGTTGACAATGCGGTAAAAACTGCTTTATCTGTGACAGAGGTATCGGAAACTTCTGAAAAGAATTCAGTACCTGATGTAGTTGAACCAGGGTTGAAGGCAAATGAAGAGAAATTATTGCCCTCATCAAATGGGATTTCTGGGGTTGAATTGGAAGGAGTTGAAGGAAAAAAATTCCCATCCTCGGATATTCCTACTGCTGAAACTAGTAATTTTGCAGAAACAAACCAAACATTAGAGCCCCACGAGTACTCTGAAAAGCAGGTATGCCGTGTGTTTGAATGTTCCTTATTTCAGTTAACTAAAAACTAATTTTTCTTATGTATTTTCTGCTTTGGTTCACAGCCTCTTGTTGCTTCGACTCCACCACCGGTACAAAGAGCCTCATTCTTAAGTTGCTGTGGGTTGTTTGAAGCTTTTACAGGTTCTGAGAGATAATTGAAGTTTCGAGTTATCCATCAAGTTAGATAAAGCTATATTATACTTTCCTTTATAGTTCGCAGAACTGAGTGTTGAGATATACCGAGTAGCTCATATCCTATGAAACTAGAACTTGAGATCTGGAACTTATTGCCTGTCATTGTTTCTTCTTTTTATTTTTACATTTTTTCTTTACGGATTCATTGCTTAAGGCTTACAACGAACCGTGAATGATTTCTCGTTGATCTAGACAGCTTGATGAATGATGAAAATCCTTATGGTAGTCAGTTCAACAGTCTCTCTTGTTGATTATGTTCTATGCTGTATTATTTTTGTGTTAATAATTTTCATTTTAGTCACTTATCCTCTAGAGAACTTCCTTGCATGTAATGTTGGAGGCTATATGTAAGTTTCTTCCTTGTTGAACTAAGAGTGCCATGTGCCAATGGAATTATGGCAATTGTGTTATCTTTGTATTGAATGAGCCCCTTGTATTTAGGGTTGTTCATTCGATGGCCGAACCGATCAAACTACCATTAACCGATTTTTTTTTCTTTAACCGTTAACCAAATCGAACCTTTTTTAGAAAATATTAACCAAACCGAATAAATTTCAGTTAATTCGGTTAATTTTCGAATTAATTGAATTTTTTTAGAATTTTAGAATTTAATATTTTTTAATTAAAAAAACAGTTTAAAATATCTAATTAATTTGATTCAAACATTATATTAAAATAATATATTTGTATTTATCAATTTAGTTAAAAAAAAACCCAACAATACTGCACTTCTACAAAATAAATCAGAATAAAGTGCAGAACTGGAAGCATAATTCAGTATACAAACAGTTTACACTTTAAGTGTTGGTGCATGAAGGTTGTGCTAACTGCTAAGTTCTTGGCTGCTGCTGTCATACCAACGCATAACATATTAAGTATCAACCAAAATTCAGTGCACAACATATTACTTGCATATTACCTGCACAACCAAAATAAAGAGATGCAAAATTCAGTTCGAACCATAAAAAACAATAAAAACAATCCAAGGTATAAATATCAAATATATCTATTAAGTATTAAGTATCAACCATTTGATTACTAAAGCTCATTCTCATAGGACTAAGATTAAAAAAACAAGAAAGATGTATCCCTTACACAGAACATACTAACTCAAAGCCAGAGACATGTTTCCAATAGATACAAATTGCTTCATAAACTGCTGAAGTAGGCTGTTACAAAAACCAAATCGAAGGCAAAATTGAATTGAACTACTATATCCTTTTCTCTTTTTTCCACAAATGGTAAATTGTAAAATCTGATTATTTAATCAGGCCCAGGATCTTTTCAGATTGCTGAATAGCTCTTGTATAGATAACCATTGTTTTTCTTGTATATCTATTTTCCGGAAATCTTAATTTAGGATAGGCATATCTACTTTGTATTTGTTGTTCCTCATCATCATTATTTTGGATTGTGATAGATATTGAGTGGGGGTCTGTTTTACAACTTATGGTGTTGATATGTTGAATACAATTGGCTACATCTATGTAAGACAAGCAGCAAAAGAACTTGGGAAGAAAGCGATATACTTGGGTGTTCCATTCGTTGCTGAGTAGTTTAGAAACAAAGGTCATTTTATTAAATACCAAGTAACTGCTGCAACAGGTTAGTAAATCTCAAGAAAGCGATATACTTGGGTGTTCCATTCGTTTGGTTTCTACTGCTAACTTAAAGGGTGGATCATTCGTTCAATACTGTTAACTTCAATGGAACCTAATCCAAAAGACATACATCAAATAAATTTTTGTCCATACCATAGTCAAGGAAGCAATAAACCAGAATTTTATAAATGTAGTTTAACAGTATATTAATCTTTCATTTGTCTCAGCATAAACAAAACAAGAACCCAACTTTCATTCGGAAGTTTGTTGCTTTCAAGGTTTCAAAACAATCTATTATATCAAATCATAAACCCTAAATCATCCATTTTACCAAATCACAAACCCTAAATCAAACAAGTAATTAAATTTTTTAGGGGGAAGTAAACTAATCAAAGAGAAAATCTAGAACTTTTAAGTTAGAAAACTAACCTGAATCGAGATTAGAGAGAGCAGAACTGAGATTAGAGAGAGATAGATAGAGAGAGGGGATGAGGGTTTGAATCGTTTGATGAAAGCTCGGGTGGTGCCGTGGTGAGATGAGATTGAAAGGTAAGGTTTACATTTAGTTTTTAGGTTATTATATTTAATTAAAATTGATTTTGCCTTTGGGTTTTAAATGGGTAATGGATTGGGGCATTGGGCTGGCTGACGGGCTTATATATACATATATATTTAAAATTTAATTTCGGTTAATTTGATTAATTAACCGATTTCGAACCGAATTACCGTTAATCGAATTCTACAAATTTTCTTAACCGTTAATCGATCGAACTAATTCGGTTCGGTCGGTTAACCGAATGAGTTCGAAAATTTGAACACCCCTACTTGTATTTATTGTCTCTGATATGGTTAAGAATCTCAAATTGTTCTCCCTTGAGTGGTTAAAGGAAATTTTGTTCTCCCGCCTTGAGGTCTTGGGTTCAAGCAGTTGCGTTTGTCTGCAGGGTGTGTGTTGTTAATAGTTAAGAAAAATCTTGAACATATATTACTTTGTAATTACTCCAGACTATTCAAAAAATAAAATCAATAGTTATATTTAGTATGATATTCAATACTAATGTAATCCTAAAAGTGGATGTTGCCCAACAAAATTAACAGCCTTCTAGATCTCATTATACACCCGAAATAAAAAGGTCGAACTTGAATGACATTACTCTTTTCGAAGAAGATTAGAAAGAAACACAAGAGAATAGAAAAATACAAAGGAGAATAAATGAGTTTCAACGTGTAAACAATTGGAGAGGAGGCTTTCATTTACAGGGAAGATGAAGGGAAAATGTCTAAGGAAAAAAGTGGTTGAAACTCTCCTCCTATTTCTTCAACAAATAATTTTAAACAATCTATTTATTTATTTTGTATTATTCAATATCTTTTCAATTCATCAGGTTGTTTTAATAGTTGAGAGAAATCTCTCTCTAGAGGTCTACAGGTGTGTGTTGTCAATGACTAAAAAAGATTTTAAACAGATATTATTTTATAATCACCTTAAACTATTAAAAAAACAATATCTTACAAATCGAGTTCGGCGATAGATCAATATTTTAATCAATAGTATATTTCGAGATATCGGTGAGTGTTCTAAAAAGGCAACCTAATTTTTTTTTTTATGGAATATGGCTAATTCTACGCACTTATCTAGATAATTTTATCCAGACTATCACAATATAAACTATCAGAATATGAACTATTAAATCATCAAGAACATTTAATAAGCTCAATCTCCCAACTCTATCATGTTAGGTACCAATTAAAGGAGCTCAAAAAATATAATTGAAAATGATATTAAATAAGCTCAAGCATAAACAAGAATATCTCTCTTTATTTTGTCTTACATTTTACAAAAGAAAATTTTTATTTTTTATTCAAGACCAAATATTTAGATCCAGTATCACTTCATTCGTGAAAAATAAAAGAAACTTTAAATATACAAGATGTTCATATTAAAAATAACATAAAAGATTTCATAACAAAGACAATAGAAATTACAATAAAAGATTTCATAAGTTTTAGAAATTATGTTTTGATTAATTTTATTTTTGACTTGTCTTAATTTAATTAGGGTAAATTACACAAATGGTCTCCCGACTATAGAATGATGTTATGTTGAGTCTCTCGGCTATTAAAAGTTACAAAATAATTCATCGGTTATAGGATGTTGTTTTGTTAATAATGTCTACTGGCATTGTCATTGCTTTCAAGATTGATTCAATGGTATAATCTTTCAAGCACTAGCTCAACATTATAATGTAAACAGAGAGCCGACCTATAAAATACATTTCAAACGGTACTAGGATAATATTTTATCATATCTCAATCAGTATGTTAAAGTCCAGCTCAGAAAACCGTTAATATTTGAATAGTGATTTAAAGCTAAGGGACCATTTGTGTGCTTTACCCTTTTGATTATTGTGATGTTAACTCTAATTAATTTACTGACATAATATGTTAATAAATATGATTGTTTGATTTTAAACTTTAAAGTAAAACATAAATTAAATTTTGAATAAATATTAATTTAATAATCTAATTCGATCAAAATTTTCAATTCGGCTACTGTTCATCACCGTTGTCGATTTCCGTCGACATCACTGAAACGTGCAACTCCAAGAATACGACGGTGCGCAAGAAGAATTTTGGATTACTATTTTTAAACGAACTTGGGAATAACATAAGAAATTTCATCCTGAATAACAAAGTTAAATCAACGAATATCATCAGACAGTTTCTGCACTTGGCTCTAATCCTTCAACTCGTAATTAAACCCATAATCACTGAGATTAGCGTTTGAATTCAAACTGGGTGGCGAAGAAAGCGTCATCTTCGATCGGCTGCCCCATTCCCCCTGGCTCGTATCTTGAATTGGTCTACACATTTACGTCGTCTACATCATGCCCAATCCTATCAGGTTCGGAGTTGCACCAATTATCAGATGGGTAACGGTGAAAGCCAAATTGACATTTAGGTAATATTTTTAATTTAATTATCAATGATGCCGAACCAATTAAAGCTATCTAAATTGGGAAATCAGCAATATGCCACCAAAATAAGTTAAATATCACATAGTTGATTGAATTTTAGTAACTAAAATACTAGATTTCTTGCAAGTTGATCCCTCACATAAATAACATGAACATTTAACATAATGCTTACACCATTTGCAGTTGAACTCTAAAACTTAATATTTTAATGATCAAAACTCAATTAATCAAATAACATATTAAACTCATTTGTAATAGCATGTTAATTGTTTATGTTATTGCTGCCAACCCACTAATCAATTTAGAGATATGTTGATCACATCTAACCGACTTTAATAACCAATTTAAAAATTAAAGGTAAATGGTCCCTCACATTATTAATCCGTCCGATTTAAATCCCTCTACTATTAATTTTTATTATTCCCCTTTTGTTTAAGCCTCTAACATGGGTAAGGACTAAAATTGAACAAGAGTTAACAACTTAGGACTAAAATTAAATGAATCAATAACATTAAAGACTAGAATCGAATGAACCGATAACATTATAGACCATTCTCCTTTCATTTTTAAATTGGTGATCAAAGTCGATTAGACCAACTTTTCAATGAATATACCAAAGCATAAGTTGTTTTAGATAAATGGTTAAAAAAAAGCTACAGAAGCTATAATATTAAATTGCGGTCACAACATAGTGTAATAGTGTAACAGTTTTTTAAGATCACTTGACATTATAATCCACAACATAAAAATATATTTGTTTAAAAAAAAATAAACCACGTTTGAACATCTAAAACATCAACCACAATCATAATTTAATATTATATTATAAGCAATCTCAGCCGAAAGATGGTGATTATTTGCATAATCATCACAGATAGATCAGGAATGATACTGATTTACATCATTGATTACTGCAAATGACAGAAACAAAAACAGAACAAAAGCTATTAATTTACAAGAAAAATTAACCCAATTTTGAGACTCTAAAAAGTACTGAAAAATCATGCAAGAGATGAGATGGTAGTGCATGTTGGTGTTCATCATTCAAATGCAGAAACGATGGTTAATTCTCATCACGCCTCCTTTCAGATTTGTAAAGAACAAACAAAATTTAAGAAAAAAAAAATTGGTAAATATGGATCAGATAAAAGAGTTGTTTCTATCACCAGCTTTCATCCAGAGATGAAAGTGAGACTGGGTGTCAAACAACAATCATCATTTCCATTTCTTTTAAATTTTCATACAAAAATTGAAGAACTAAAGAAAACCAGAACAGCTAAATAAAAGAAAAGGTAAGACCCAGAGTTATAGAGGGATCAGGTAGTCGATCGTTAATTACTCCGCATATAGAAACTCAGACTGGGTGTCAACATCAATCTTCATGTCCGTATTCAATCGATTTCAATTAAACCCAAAAAAAAAATGCAAAAATGAAATCATATATGGATGTCAATCACCAACTTTGCCTATAAAGACATTTAATTTATGCAAAGTAAGACTGGGGCGACAATAGCAATCATCATTTTCACTTCTTCCAAAAACAAAAAATTAGGAGTATTTTTTAAATAAAAATAGGCAATAAAAGTGAATGAAAATAGAAAATTAAAAAACTTTGAACATATCTACACAGATTGTACGATCGCTCTGAGATTTATTGAACTTTTCGCCCCCTCTTCTTCACGATCTCCGTACTTAGAAACTGAAAAAAATGAGGTAAAAACACATTCATAAATGATTTCGAATAAAATGGGGTGTTTTTTTATTGCAGAAATGTATCTTATGACACTGAGTTTCGGCAACTTATATAGAGACAAGAGTGATGGTATTTTTAGGCTTATGTTCATTGCTAGGGTTTGTAGTTTGTTAGAGAGATTAGTATAAGTCAACGATCGGCAGCAGTCGTCTTGCCTTTATTGTTATTTTGGGTAAACTATATGTATAGTACCTAAACTATTACTTTTGTTCTGTTTTGGTATCCAAACTTTATTTTTTTTCAAAATTATACCTATCGTTTAGTTTAGGTTTCAATTTGGTATACCGTCATTAAAAATTTAATAGAGCTTCTTAGGGGTGTAAATGAACCGAGCTTGAATGTACAAGATTATGTCCGTGTTCGTGTGTTTATTTTTGAAGATGTTCATGTTCGGTTCGTGTTCGTCTAAATTTTTAATATCGGGTTTGTGTTTGTTTATTTATTTTTTGAAGGTGTTCGTGTTCTTTTAGTTATTGTTCACAAATATGTTTGTTTAATGTACACGAACATGTTCATTTATATATTCACGAACGTGTTTGTAATAACCATTTTTTATAAAACAATTATATATTATTTTAAAAACGATTATGACTTTAAATTAGAAAATTGGTGATTTGAAATTAATTTGAATTAAATTGAACAGAGTCGCCATCAACCTTTGGGTTAGGTAAGTCGAATACCTAAAGACGTCTTTTAAAACAATTTTAAGAAAAATCATTTTTAAGACAAAAATAGTCTGCATTTACCAAAGATTCAATTAAAATGGATTCGGGAGTCGGTTACGTGTGGGGAAGGCTATACACCCCCCACAATGCCCAAAATTGGTACTGTGTCGCTTACACATCGTCATAAATGGTGGAAGTTACAAATCGAATATAAAGTTAATTTATTATCCATTTATTGAGATTTATTTAATTTGCCTCGAATTATTTAAAGAAAATCCTTTAACTCAATCAGAAATCTTGAAATTTGCAATCCTCCGTCGGGAAAGCTATTTCAACCATTTCTCATTCGTAAAAGAATATTCTACCATTGATTATGTAAAAAAATTGCGAATCAAATATAACTAAAAGCGATGTTTACATACGAGTAAATTGATTAACTAAAAACGTGAATTGAATACAAATTAAAAAAATTTGAAATTTACATTCACATAAAATAAAATAAATTGTCACTTAAAATAACACACATTGCATCGTTTGAACAAATTAATTAGCAAAATATACTCGACTTATTTCAAGTTTCTATGTCGTTAAAATGCCGTACCGGATCACACCACTTCGATCAAGTGGTACTTTCCACGCCCATTCTACGCATACGTGTTCTTGAAAATATAATCGAATATTTCATACATAGATAAAAATATAATGAAAATAAATGTAATTGGAAATACAAAATAAAATATTCACATTACTAAAAACATTATTTACATAATACAAATAACCGAATAACAAGTACAATAAAATCATACCTAAATGAATAAAATAAAATATTACAGATCTAAACACAAATATAAATAATCACATTTGATTTTAAGGTACCAAAATAAAAATAATAAAAACCTAAAGGAATAAATAACAAATAAAACAAATAATCCAGGGCCAAGAACAAAATATTAAACAGTATGCAAATCATACACAAATAAGATTAGGGACCAAGATGAAAATAATAGAAACTTAAAAAGCTAAACAATAATTATAAATAAAGAAGAGCCCAGATAGCAAACATTAAATAATACATAAACCAGAAATATAAATAACCCATAAATAATACTTAGGACTAGATTGCATTAAAATATAAACATGAAGGCCGAATCATAATTAAACCAAAAGTAAAACAATGACTAAGATAATAGACTTATAATTATCATAGCCAAATTTGAATATCAAAGAAAATACACAACACCTAAGATTAGTGACTAAATATAATATTTATAAATGTCAGAGATAAATTCGAAACTCAGCCAAAATACATAACATATAAACTCAGGGGCTAAATGAAACTATTACAAACATTGGGACCAAAGTCAAATATCCACAAAAATGACATAACATACATTAGTAGGACTAAAATATAAACAAGGAAACATAGATGCCCAAAACAAAAGAAAACAAAATAGACATTAAACCAAACATCAAACAATGACTAAAATAGAATATATACGAATATGATGACCAAATTCAAATAACAGTAAAGATAATAAAAATGCATGGGATCAGTGATTAAATTAAAATATTTGAAAATATTAAATCTAGAATCAAATATAGACAAATATGATATAAAACATGAACAGGGACTAATATATAACATTTGCAAATTTCAGGACCAAATCCGAATATCAAAGGAAAATGCCCAATAAACTGCAACAGTGACTAAAACGAAATAAATATAAATATCACAACCGAATTATAATATCAGCAAACATAATATACAAATTAATGACTGAAATGCAATCATTAAAAACTAAAAGGCTCGAAATAAAACAATAATAATTTCATTAAATGACTTAAATAAAGCATTACAAAGGAGAAGGGACCTAAACTGTAGTTACCCCATGCTTGCAAAACACGGGTACCCAGACCCTTGAAACGGTGGCGTGTTGGAAACAAGTTATAAGCCTTGTTTTAGGGTTTAGAAAACCCTATTCCCATTTGGTTTCATTCTCTCCCTCAGCAGTAATACCGAAGCATTCAGGGGAGAGCTCTCCCAGCTTCTTCATCGCACGAGGCGGCCCAGAGTCCCGACCACCGTGAACCGGTGGCCACGGGACGCAGAATAAACGAAAGGGTCCCCTTTGACCACAAAGTCCTCTGCTCCGGTGAAGCAATCAACGGCCGGACCGAATCCAAGGTAAGCCTCTCACTCTATCTCTATTTTCTCTCGAGCTTTCCTTTGTTTCGAGCCCCCCACCCGAAGCTCTCTCTGTATTTTTCTTTTCGTTCTCCCCTCTGTTGCTCTCACCGAATCCTCTCCCCTCATAATGGTTGCCTGTTGGATTTTTTAAGGGTTCTTTCGGTGATAATGGTACCTAAGGCTTAGGGAAATTATGGGTTGTTGATTTAGGGTGATTGAATCCCGGATTTTCGGGATTATAGGGATTTTTTATTTAGATTTATTTTTGTTTTTTTATTGGGTTTTTTTCTCTGATTTGCTGATTGATTTGGTATGTTGTCACTGTTGACCGCTTGAGGGATGGGCTCTGATCGGCTCGGGAAGCTTTCGACGATGGCTCGTCGACTGGGAAACTGGAACTCACTGGCGGCAGTGGCTTGATGGCTGTTGGCTTGAACGGCTACTGGAACGTTGAAGAGGCACGACGGCTGGATTGGCTTTGGGTTGTGAAACCCTATTTACCATCGATCTGGACCGTTGAATGGGTCCAGATCGAATGGTCTATGTTGGTGCGGCGCTGGGATGTTGATACCCTAAGGTTAGGGTTTGCAATCGGGCTGCTGAGTGATGGGTATGGGCTCGGGTCAATTGGGCTTCGTTTGTTGGGCATGGGTTGGCCTGCAAAACAGTGTAATATGTAAATTGTAAGTTAAATAATAATAATAATGCTAATAATAATAATTAAAATAATGATAATAATAATATATACAAAAACCCGGACAAAAACGGGTGTCTACAGCTGCCCCTCTTTGCACATTCTTGTGTTAACAAGAATAGGGCAAAGATGATAAGACAACACGTTTTTGTCTGGTTCTCTTCCATTTTCATAGAAATTGGATAATATTGGTTGTTGGGGACGACACTGCTCATACGTGATGAAGAGTTTGGGTCGTCTAAAGGTGACACGGCTCCTACGTGATGAAGAGCTCTGGTCGGGGAATGACACGGCTCATACGTGATGAAGAGTTCTGGCCATCTAAAGGTGATAACACGGTTCCTACGTGATGAGGACTACTGGTTATCTAAGGGTGACCCGGTTCCTACGTGATGAGGAAATCTGGTCAGGGGATGACACAGCTCATACGTGATGAGGAGATCTGGTCTGGGGAATGGCACGGCTCATACGTGATGAAGAGTTCTGGCCAATCTAAAGGTGATAACACGGTTCCTACGTGATGAGGACGGCTGGTTATCCAATGGTTGACACGACTCCTACGTGATGAGGAGATCTGGTCTGGGGATGACACGGTTCCTATGTGATGAGGACTACTGGCCATCTTAGGAATAATGGTTTCAAGGGAGACCAACTCAAAGATGTGTTTCAGTAGAAACAAACTCAAAAATTGAATTTTGATAAAAATTGTCTCAAGGGAGACAAAATTCGTTTCAAGAGAAACGATCTCAAAGATATTTGCTTTGTTTCAAGTGAAATAAACTCAAAGATAAGTTTTTCAAAAGCAACTGTCTCGAAAGAGACAAAATTCGTTTCAAAGGAAACAACCCAAAGATGGCATTTAAAGGGAATTGTCTCAAATGAGACAAAATTTGTTTTTAAGGGAAACGTTCTCAAAGATGTTTATTTTGTTTCAAGGGAAACAGATTCAAAGATGGTAAATTTTGTTTCCAAAGAAACAAACTCAAAGATTTTTCTCAAAGAAACTGTCTCGAGAGACATAAAATTTTGTTTCCAAAGAAAGAAATTCAATGATTTTTTTTTCTTTTTTTTTTTTTTGAAAAGACATTGTCATAAGAGACAAAACTTTGTTTTTCAGAAAATGGTATCTTAGTGAGACAAAATTTTGTTTCCAAAGAAATAGCCTCAAAGATTTTTCTTCAAAAGAAATTGTTTTAAGGGATAAAACATTGTTTTCAGAGAAACCAACTCAAAGATGATCTTGTTTTAAGAGAAAATGTTTCAAGAGACAAAATTTGTTTAAAGGGAAACGACTCAAAGATGACATTGAAAGAAAATTGTCTCATGCGAGACAAAATTTGTTTTAATAGAAACGATCTCAAAGGTGGGTATTTTCAAAAGAAGTTATCTCGAGAGACAAAATTTTGTTTCAAAGGAAACCAACTCAAAGATTTTTCAAAAGAAATTGTCTTTAAGAGATAAAATTTTGTTTCAAAAGAAATAGACTCAAAGATGGATTACATCTTAAGTAAGACCAAATTTGTTTCAAATGAAACAATCTCAAAAGTTAGTTTTTAATTAGAAACTGTCTCAAGAGAGACAACATTTGTTTTTAAAGAAATAGACTCAAAGATGATTTTGTTAAGAGAAACAAACTCAAAGATTTTCAAAATGAACATATTCAAAGATTTACTTCAAAAGAAACGGTCTCAAGAGATACAAAATTCATTTTAAGAGAAACAGATTCAAAGATTTTTGTTTCAAAAGAAATTATCTTAAGAGAGACAAAATTTTGTTTCAAAAGAAACAAACTCAAAGATTTTTGTTTCAAAAGAAACTATCTTAAAAGAGAAAGAATTTTGTTTCCAAAGAAACAAACTCAAAGATTTTTTTCACAAAATTGTCTCAAGAGATACAAAACTTTGTTTCAGACTCAAAGATTTTTCACGAAATTGTCTCAAGAGAGATAAAACTTTGTTTCAAAATAAATAGACTCAAAGTTTTTTTTCAAAAGAAACGACTCAAAGATATTTATTCAAAAGGAACAAACTCAAAGATTTTTCAAGAGAAACTGTCTCAAGAGACAAAAATCGTTTTAAAAGATTCAAATATTGTCGATTTTGTTTATATGGAAATAATCTCAAGGGTGTTTTCAACAGTGTTTATTTTGTTTCAAATGAAATAATTTCAGGATTTGTTAAAAGGGAAAACTGTCTCGTGCGAGACCAATCAGTTTTGAAAATCTCAAGTGATATTAATTTTGCTTTAAGTACAACAACCTTGAAATTTGTATTATGAGAGAAAATGATGTCTCAAGCGAGATGAAATTTGCTTCGAAATAAACAACAATATCAAGTGAGATTTTATTTTAAGTGTAACAAATTCAAAATTAGTATCTCAAAGGAAAAATGTCTCAAGCGAGACGAAATTTGCTTTAAGATATAGTCTCAAATGAGACAAAATTTGTTTTTAGAGAAATTGTCTCAAGCGAGACAAAGTTTGTTTTTTGAGAAAACGATCTCAAGTGAGATCAACTTTGTTTAATGTGAAACAAATTCGAAATTTGGATCTCAAAGGGAAAAGGTCTCAAGCGAGACGAAATTTGTTTTGAAAGAAACAACAATCTAAGGTGAGATTAATTTTGTTTTAAGTGAATCAAATTCAAAATTTGTATCTCAAAGGAAAAATGTCTCAAGCGAAACACAATTTGTTTTAAAATTCTCAAAATTTGTGGAAAAATGTCTCAAGCGAGACGAAATTTGTTTTGAAATAGATACGATCTCAAATGAAATCAACTTTGTTTAATGTGAAACAAATTCAAAATTTGGATCTCAAAGGAAAAAAATGTCTCAAGAGACTGAATTTTACTTCAATAAAAAACCTCAAAGATGATAGATAGTCTTCTTGTTCCTGTAGGTTGAGGAAATGTCTTGATTGTTGACTTCAAGAAATCAAATCATTGCTTCTTCAAGTTAGGGATTTCTGGTCATTTCTGAGCTTTGATTTCCTGAGAGATCAAAATGATGTATTTTTGAATGACTATCTTGGATGTTATGATGGATGTCAAGATGAAATTTATTTGATTTTTTTTTGTCCAATTTGCCCTCAAGTGAGGAGAAAAATGTCTTTAATATATATGATGATAAATGTTTGATGCAAATTTTATGTATTATGTATGTATGTGTATATATGTATGTATGTATGTATGTTTTCTCGATCTGGAAGGAGAATAGTTGCGAAAGTATTCTTCACTCTATCATTGATTCAACTTGTCCGTATTTCCACCAATGTGTACTCTTACAAACCTTGACCTGAGACCATTTGTTTATTCCATCAAATTTTGCCCTAAAATTTAGCTTCTCTTGCCCCAGCTTCGATCTTTGAGCTTCAGATAGATATATTTTTTTTGAATTCCAAGATACGCCTCCAGAGAGATTATCTTGTTTGAAAATGTTTTTCTTCTTCTTTTATTTTCAAAAGTCTGACAATATCAATAGTTTTGAAAAATGTTTGATCAAAAGATTTGAAAACATTGCCCCTTTTAAGGTTTCACAATTGACAAATCATAGAACAAGAGTTCATTGGATATCAAAGAATTAATTACACTTTTAATCCTTCAATAAATTATAGCTATTTGACAAGTGTCAAGATCAACGCTATCTTTGAGAGATGGTTAAGTAAGGGAGGATAAAAAAGTCTCAAGTGGTTATTTTGGTCAAAAGTATAGTGTTCTCATTTATTTGATGTTCTCTGATCTGATGGAGTAGCTTCTGTACTCAGTTATTGGAAGTGTTCTCTGACTCCCAACTCTCATGTTCTCATTCATGTTGTGTGATGCCTCATCAAGGGATTTGAGCAATCGTCTCCTATGTAATAATCTTCATATTCGAGCGCCCTTTCAGGTTTTCAACTCAAATCCTCCTTTGGTTTCAAGACGTTACTCAGAATTTTACGTCTTTAACCCCCCTTTGTTATTTTTCTCTATCATGCATTAAAGATTTTAGAAAATCTTTATAAGTAAAATATTAATCCTGATAGGCGGGATGAAATATGAGGATAGTCTCTTCCGCTTAGAAATCCATGTATGATTAGAAGGGACTTGTAAGGCACGTAATGTAGGTCATAGTTCAGGGTTATGAAAGAAAGGGATAAAAGGCCCAAACATGTGTTTTAAGGGTATTTGAACCAAGGATCAATTAACTCTGATGCCTTCGATCTTGTTTTGCTCAATTTGAATCTACTCGCATGTCCCTCTCTTGATGTTTTATGATCTTCGAGTCAAGTAATTCTAGAGTGATTGTGTTTGATTAATCTCACGGTTTGAAGCTCAATGCGTCATTTAAGTCAGGAGATTCTTTGTCTGTGTTCTTTGTCCTCTTTTGTTCTTTGCTTTTCTTTGATTTTTGCTTTGATTTTTCTTTGCTCTTTGTTTTTTTTCTTTGGTTTGATCTTTGCACTCTGCGTCTGGTTCACCTTTCGGTATCTCATTTGGATCAATTTTCTTCACTCAGATTTCCTTCACATTGCCCCCCAGTGTGGAGGGTGATCCTTGGTTAGGGTTGAATCGAAAGAAAATATCATTCAGGCTCAAAGGGGACACAAGGGATATATTTTCTCCTTTTGTGAAGGGATAAAGAAAGAAAGCCGTTCATCATCTCATACACAGAAGTCCTTGCAGAAGAGGTATCCCTAGGGGGATAGATTTTCAAGATTAATTGTTTATTCACATGAAAAAAATGTAATTAATGCATGATAGAATTATTTTGAATGAATTCTATTTTTTTCCTCTTCTCTTCTTGCTCTCAACATGTCTCAATTGCTCATGCTCGTCTTCAGAAAATTGACGCGAGATGCCCCACACTGTGTCTTCTTTGTAGGAAGGTTTATGTTCAAGTGAACATCTTGTACTCAATGTCTGTAGGTTTTATTGGTAGAAAATGTTGGTTCTACGTCTAAGAAGACGATGATGACTTTATTGGCTCAAAGAAAGGTATGGGTATGACTTTTGTGTCTCAATAAATACAGTGTTTCAAGGTGGAAAGAATATTTCAAGGTCTCAAAGAGATAGAATGTCAAAAATTGGTTATTTGGTAGTGACCAGGAATTATTTCGGGTAAAAAAATCGAGAGATTTTATTTTGGGTTTTAGACAGGATAAAAAAGGTCTAATCTTGCCATATGTCAAAAATCTATAATTCTTGAAGAATTAAAAGAATATGTAATTCATTCGATATTCAAAGAACTAAAGATTAAAATTTGTTCAATTATTTAACCTTAGAAGGTAGCATCATTTCAGTCATCAAAGCTTAAAAATATTTAAGCAAATATTGAAGAAAGAACAAAAACGAGTTCAAACAAAACAATCTCTATGGATGCAAGTGGTTGATGCAATGACTTCTCTGGCTTAGTATTAGGATACCCCTGAATAAATCATATTATGGATTTTGTGCTTTAGTGTCTTGCAGTTCTCGGTGGAATGTCTGGAGCTTCTTAGGTGGAAATGGTGCACTGGATCAACATCGTAGACCTTAGGGAACGATGACTCTTTTCTCGAACCATCCTGGAAGACTCAATCGAACAAACTTCTATCGTGTTGATTTCAGCTTCTTGTTTATATTCTCAATATGGTCACGTGATCAGGATTACTTCCACTGACTTCTCCACAAATTGATCTCATGTTTTTATGAATGATGCATATGAAAATGCTTAAAAATAAAATATATATGCAACATAAAAAGATGCAAATGCAGATGGAAAAATGTTGACCCCAACGATGAATATCATAGAATAGTCTTCACCAGAAATAAAAGTTTTCACATTACAAGACAATCCAATTTACAAACATGTCTTCGCTTAGATGGTGAGCCTGGAATGGATCACTGCTTCATCTCGGATCTTCGTCCTCAATAATGATGCCCCTCAAGCGCTCTGTAATCTGACTCCGTTAATGCCTCGGTGGTAATGAGGTCGGTGTGTCGCTCTTTGATAACTAGCGATGAAATGATTGTAGATAAGACTCCACTGCTAGACTACTCCTTGAATCAGTGGATCATCATCTCAGTATTGAATGATGCACGATCTTCGAGCTCACTGCTTCGTCTCGGATCTTTATACTTGGAACCGATGCCCCTCTATGCTCTGTAAACTAACTCCATTAATACCTCGGCTATGCTGAAGTTTGTGCTTCACTCCCTGATGGTTAACGATGGAATAATTGTGGATGAGAATCTACTGCTGGATTACTCCTTAGATCAGTGGATTATCATATCAGTCTCGAATGATGCACGATCTTCGAGAAAATCTCATTCTTGTACTCTGGACTTCTTTTAGCCCTCGATGCATGTCTGTGTATGCGATCGCTTGATTGAAAACTTTTATCTCTTCTTGTGAAAATTTTCTCTCGAATATCCCCTTACGGATCAACACTTTTGCATTATGATGATGCAATGCAATGCAATGCAAATGACAAAATGACACAAACAAAAGAGAAGAAATAAGTTAGTATACACAAACAAAAGAGAAAAATAAGTTAGTACATGTAAAATAATTGATACAAATAAAATGTAATTCAGAGATGGATATAACACCTACCCCGTCATGATATCTACCCAAACATGCTTTCAATTAAATAACAATCCTACCCGGACATGCTATCTACCCAAAATGATCTATTTTCAAGAAATTGGTCCTAACCGCATGGTATCTAGTTCGCATGCTTTATTCGGAAAAATATATTCTACAAATTTAAAAGGTTAAGGTTTAGAGTCGTTCCTCCTTCGTGTACACCTATTTTGGGTACCTACCGACGAACAAAGGTTCGGTATGACTATACCTAGGGTGATCGTTCGACGGTTCACTATATGCTTGGTTTCGGCTCTAACGAAAAAAAAGACTCGAATTGTCCTTGATGTCGGTGCCCCCTTGGGCTGCCAAACCCTCGATCCTTACCCATTACAGGTTTCAAGCGGAACGAGTTCAATTCGAGGGGATTCACTGTCTTATACCCATACGAGGAATAAATTCCTACGAAGGTATAAAGTATGTATCCCATGGGTTATTTGCTAAAACTCATACGAAGAATAAATTCTTACGAGAGTAAAGCATTCACCCCGACTAACTTGGATCGAAGCTCGTGTCTAGAGCTCATGTTATGCAAATGCACGTGATGTGTGTGAGGAGGAACGTACCTACCTTTGACTCAAAACAGAAAAGAAAAGAAAAAAACGACAAAAATTTGGACAGAACTGAAAGCAAAAAGATAAAATGTTAGTATGATAATTAAAAATGAAGCAATTAAAAATTTCAATAAACGGATCATAAGTTAACTATGTACTCGAACTTATAATTTCCACTAAGACGACAATGTGTAAGCGACCTACAGCTTGACTCTCTAAAAAGATGTCCCCAGCAGAGTCGCCAAGCTGTAATAACCATTTTTTATAAAACAATTATATATTATTTTAAAAACGATTATGACTTTAAATTAGAAAATTGGTGATTTGAAATTAATTTGAATTAAATTGAACAGAGTCGCCATCAACCTTTGGGTTAGGTAAGTCGAATACCTAAAGACGTCTTTTAAAACAATTTTAAGAAAAATCATTTTTAAGACAAAAATAGTCTGCATTTACCAAAGATTCAATTAAAATGGATTCGGGAGTCGGTTACGTGTGGGGAAGGCTATACACCCCCACAATGCCCAAAATTGGTACTGTGTCGCTTACACATCGTCATAAATGGTGGAAGTTACAAATCGAATATAAAGTTAATTTATTATCCATTTATTGAGATTTATTTAATTTGCCTCGAATTATTTAAAGAAAATCCTTTAACTCAATCAGAAATCTTGAAATTTGCAATCCTCCGTCGGGAAAGCTATTTCAACCATTTCTCATTCGTAAAAGAATATTCTACCATTGATTATGTAAAAAAATTGCGAATCAAATATAACTAAAAGCGATGTTTACATACGAGTAAATTGATTAACTAAAAACGTGAATTGAATACAAATTAAAAAAATTTGAAATTTACATTCACATAAAATAAAATAAATTGTCACTTAAAATAACACATATTGCATCGTTTGAACAAATTAATTAGCAAAATATACTCGACTTATTTCAAGTTTCTATGTCGTTAAAATGCCGTACCGGATCACACCACTTCGATCAAGTGGTACTTTCCACGCCCATTCTACGCATACGTGTTCTTGAAAATATAATCGAATATTTCATACATAGATAAAAATATAATGAAAATAAATGTAATTGGAAATACAAAATAAAATATTCACATTACTAAAAACATTATTTACATAATACAAATAACCGAATAACAAGTACAATAAAATCATACCTAAATGAATAAAATAAAATATTACAGATCTAAACACAAATATAAATAATCACATTTGATTTTAAGGTACCAAAATAAAAATAATAAAAACCTAAAGGAATAAATAACAAATAAAACAAATAATCCAGGGCCAAGAACAAAATATTAAACAGTATGCAAATCATACACAAATAAGATTAGGGACCAAGATGAAAATAATAGAAACTTAAAAAGCTAAACAATAATTATAAATAAAGAAGAGCCCAGATAGCAAACATTAAATAATACATGAACCAGAAATATAAATAACCCATAAATAATACTTAGGACTAGATTGCATTAAAATATAAACATGAAGGCCGAATCATAATTAAACCAAAAGTAAAACAATGACTAAGATAATAGACTTATAATTATCATAGCCAAATTTGAATATCAAAGAAAATACACAACACCTAAGATTAGTGACTAAAATATAATATTTATAAATGTCAGAGATAAATTCGAAACTCAGCCAAAATACATAACATATAAACTCAGGGGCTAAAATGAAACTATTACAAACATTGGGACCAAAGTCAAATATCCACAAAATGACATAACATACATTAGTAGGACTAAAATATAAACAAGGAAACATAGATGCCCAAAACAAAAGAAAACAAAATAGACATTAAACCAAACATCAAACAATGACTAAAATAGAATATATACGAATATGATGACCAAATTCAAATAACAGTAAAGATAATAAAAATGCATGGGATCAGTGATTAAATTAAAATATTTGAAAATATTAAATCTAGAATCAAATATAGACAAATATGATATAAAACATGAACATGGACTAATATATAACATTTGCAAATTTCAGGACCAAATCCGAATATCAAAGGAAAATGCCCAATAAACTGCAACAGTGACTAAAACGAAATAAATATAAATATCACAACCGAATTATAATATCAGCAAACATAATATACAAATTAATGACTGAAATGCAATCATTAAAAACTAAAAGGCTCGAAATAAAACAATAATAATTTCATTAAATGACTTAAATAAAGCATTACAAAGGAGAAGGGACCTAAACTGTAGTTACCCCATGCTTGCAAAACACGGGTACCCAGACCCTTGAAACGGTGGCGTGTTGGAAACAAGTTATAAGCCTTGTTTTAGGGTTTAGAAAACCCTATTCCCATTTGGTTTCATTCTCTCCCTCAGCAGTAATACCGAAGCATTCAGGGGAGAGCTCTCCCAGCTTCTTCATCGCACGAGGCGGCCCAGAGTCCCGACCACGTGAACCGGTGGCCACGGGACGCAGAATAAACGAAAGGGTCCCCTTTGACCACAAAGTCCTCTGCTCCGGTGAAGCAATCAACGGCCGGACCGAATCCAAGGTAAGCCTCTCACTCTATCTCTATTTTCTCTCGAGCTTTCCTTTGTTTCGAGCCCCCCACCCGAAGCTCTCTCTGTATTTTTTTTTCGTTCTCCCCTCTGTTGCTCTCACCGAATCCTCTCCCCTCATAATGGTTGCCTGTTGGATTTTTTAAGGGTTCTTTCGGTGATAATGGTACCTAAGGCTTAGGGAAATTATGGGTTGTTGATTTAGGGTGATTGAATCCCGGATTTTCGGGATTATAGGGATTTTTTATTTAGATTTATTTT